TTATCCCAATTTATCTCAAGCTCTCATGATTGAAGCTCTCCCTCTAAACTCTAAGCACAAGTCCACGACAATAAGATGATTAATAGGAATTGGAGGGAATAAATGAGTGAATAGGTTGGAGATGAGGTGGTGTGAATGGGGATTGGTTAAATTTGGGATGATGGTGAGGTGTACTGTGTACCGTGGATTGAAAATAGAGAATGAAATGATGGAGTGATTAATTGGTGGAAGAATGGAAGAAGAGATGAGGAGGCATGAATGAATAGAGTGGAAGAAAAGAGACGCTGGAGATGGGAGACGTAGCTAAGGAAGGAAAGAAAAAATAAAGAGAGAGCTTCCCTTTTCTCAATTCTGGCAGCTGGGTAAAATTAGTGAGAGGAAGAGGGTTTTGAGACAAATGATCTAATGACTAGTAGAGAGTTTAAAAAAAAATGCCAGCCATTAATTTAAAAAGAGCCAATAAGAAAAAAGATAAAAAGAAAAGTGTAAATTTTTTTTAATTTTCCTTAGTTGAAAATGCCCATTATACCTAATATACATTGATGATTCCTTCCTTATCTTTTAAAAACTTTGATCATTGGATGTTTCTTGGAATCCTAGAATTAATTTTCACCATCGAATTTTATTAATTGTGCTTTAATAACCTGAAAAGTCAACATGAACCTATTAGTGTAGATCTTATCCAAATAAATCCCATGACTCAAAATATTTTCAAATTATTTTTTTAGCAATTATTATTTTCCACAAATGGCCAAAAACTCAAATGATATATAATAATTCAAATTAAGCTTGCTTAAAGATTGGAAAAATTAAACTATGTTAAAAATAGGAAGATGAAATATTCACAGTTAAGACCAAAATTCCAATAATTAATTCGAAAATATATTATTCTTCAAAATTGACTAATAATTCAAATAATATCTAATAAATCTAAATTAGTCCAAAATCATCATTAAAATGCATGGAAAAAGGGGATAAAATATATAAAATCTATGATTTATCAATACGGTATTCCAAATTGTTAGATTTATCTAGAAGTTTGTGCATTATGCATGTTCCAGTGTTCTATTCCACCATTGAGATTGGTTTTAGTCAAGTTAGGAAGCATGAAATTTCAGCCTCTTTTGTAATATTTTATCTCAACCCTTTTGTGTAAATTTATTCTAGTCCTAAATATAGCCTACTAATATGATCCAAGATGGATAGAGAAAAATAAGAAAGATAAATATTTAATAAAATGAAATCACAATCTAACTTCATAAATTAATAAAGAGAAGAGAAATCTTTAATAGAAGATGAGCAAAAATCTTTAACTCATACAATTAATAAAGCTAAGGAGAATCTCCATTAATATAAATAAATAATGATTTTATTTCCAAATGATTTCTACATGATATGTACCTCTATTTATGGACCAAAAAAATAAATAATATTTCCTTCGTTAAAAAAATGTAAGGCGTTTTTTGAGAAGTTGGATGTTAAAAAATGTAAGGCATTTTTAATTTTTCGAGGTGTAATCCTTGTCTTTTTTTCAAAAATGCCTTTATTGATGAATGGCTTTATATTTATTGTAGGGTGTTTAATGGGGGTAAATATGAAAAGATAGGGTTAGTTTGAAAGTAGGTAACTACTTTATTGGGGGGTGAGATTCGGTTAAAAATGCTTTATATTTTTTAACAGAGGGAGTAAGTCCTAAAAAGACTCCCATTAATTAGTAACTCAAATGATGGGGCATAACTACCTAAAATAAATAAATAAATAAAATTATTTTTATAATCTACAAGTATCCACTACTCCTAAATTTAAGGGCCACTCAACAAAACAGAAAATAAACTAAATAATATTATTAAATAGAAAATAACTTAAAATAGTATTCATTCTTTATATATCTCTAACTTCCCAAATTATCTATTATCCCACCATAATTAGTAATTATAAAGAGACTTTTGTTTGAGACTTTTGTCCATCATGGGATCATTTTGATGCTATAAAGAGACTTTTGCTTTTAGATTGCACTGCTGGTGTGAACTGGTTCTGATGTGGCTTCCTTGTCTGGCTGTCGATGATTTTGCTTCATGCTTATAATGACCACTTTATTTGGCGGTAGCCTTGGGTATACTACTAAGGCTGTTTTGCAGTGAAATTGTTTTTTCACCATGAATTTTGCTATAACAGGATGCCACCAAAGGCTACTTGAAGCTTCTACTTCTTACTGTGGCATCAGGTGATAGGAGTAATGGTGAAGCCATTCAAAGGTCCTCTCTTCTTTTCCTTTTTCCATAATTTGCTTCTCTTAGTATCTTATGCTTTATTAGACTTATTTATCCACTATAGACTTATGCTCTATAAAGGAATCTAAACTTTGGTTGCAGCTGCAGCAACCGAGACCTTTCCATGATTCTTGGTGCCCTTTTGGAAACTAGATCAAGATCAGTGCTGAATGATATAGTTAATAAAAATGGTAATGCATACTTTCTGCATACTTATCTCAATTTTTATTTATTTTTATCTCTAGTGAAAACTTGTCATGCTTTGTCAATTTCAAATCATGACTATTGCTTTTCCTTTCAGGTTTACGCATGCTACACAACATAATGAAGCAATACAGGTGGGACTTTAAAAAAATTCCAATTCTGCGAAAGCTTCTTAAGGTTTGCAGATGGGAAATGACTTAAATTAGTTGCAAGTTATCTGCATTTTTACTTAAGCGGTTATGCACTTCCAAATTCATTACTTTGAACCAACTGCACATCCTTGTTTTATTGCAAAAAGCTTCAGGATTTGAATGAAATTGAATAATTGACAAAAGTTCAATTGAGGCTGCTAGTTTGACATTGTAGAGTGTAGAGCCACTATTGTGAATTCCTTCATAGGTAGATCTGTCTCTGAAATTTCTTCAATTTCATGGCTCCATTAACAGAGTGGCTAGTAGAAATAAACCCTAATCCCTGAACCCTTGTCGAAAAGCTTTTTGATATTTGCCTGATTTTATTGGGTTTTACATGATTACCGTAATTTATTCCCCTTTTAGGTGTTGGCCAAGTTTCTCAATATTTTCATGTGGGTGTCAATATATAACCCCACCTAGTGGGATAAGGTTTGTTGTTATTGTTGTTGGGGTCAATATATAGGGGAGGTGTTATCTGATATTTGTGTATGTGACAGTCCCATAGTCTCCTCTATGGTAACAGCGGGTGCTTTGTGAGTTAATTATAGTAGATCCCATGCATTTGCATAGAATCTAAAATGAGCTATACTTTGTGACTTGTGTATTGTTCAGCTTTTTATATTTTATATTTATTTTGTTAATCCTTCTTTAAGGGAGGTTAGTCTACAATTCATGACATACTTTAAATACACCTTTCACAGGTCTTAGAGCGCCTAGCAGAAAGAAATATTTTGACATCTGAGCATGTTAATGGTGGTCCCCCTTGCTGTGGAATGGAAAGGTTAGAAAATTTCAGCTCTGCGGCTTTTGTAGTTTACCTCCAATTTTACTTGACTTATTATTACAAAAACTAGTGTTTGGAGTTGCCTTCAATAAGAGGATACCTCTGAGTAATAAAGAAAAAAAAAAATTATGCTGGACTTTTTTTAATTATCTCAAATAATTGAAAGCTGGAGTCATGGATTTCATTAGCGCTTAATGTTTTAAATTCAAATGTGGACTTCATCAATGTCTTATACAAATTATTGGCCACCATTATGATAGGAATAGACCTTTTGTTCTAGCCATTTTGATGGGGATTGGCCTTCGTTGTTAACTTATGTGAGAAGCAGTAAGAACACAAGGGTGACCATTACTATTGTATGAGAGGAAGAGGAAGAAGAGGGTAACATGTGCCCAGAGGGGCCAGTAGCAACAGAGGGGTTAATTGAAGGAAACTGACAGGATTATTCTGGCTTGGCCTTTTGAGGAGAGAGGTGAGGGTTTGAGCAACGAATATTGGGAGGTGGGGTCCAGTAGTGGGGAAACACGAATGTTCTCTAGGTTGGGAGAAGCTTAGCATCTCGGATACCTAGGAGCTGAGTATCTTTCTGCATTTTCTGTTGATTTGCATTCCCTTTACAGAATTGTCACCTCTGTAAAGGCTTGCACTCTGGCAGAGGACCTTAGCTTATGATCAATATAGAGAGAATTCATCGGATTCCCGCTCTGCAAATTATATGCATTTTTCTCTTTCATTTTTGACCCTATGAAATTGTGCTACTGGGGCTAAACCCCTCCCCTTTTCCTAATTTTTGGTTTTATGTGCAGCTTTAGGGAGTCAATGCTGTCCTTAACGGAACATGAAGACAAAGAGGTGTGTTTCATACTAACTTGTTCTTGCCCACTTTTTTCATTGATTACAGCTTTAGTCAGAGGTCTAGTGTATGTCACCTAGTAGCAAAACATGCTGTTTGGATCTTCTTTCTTTTTTTACCTCAGGTGTATTTTTCTTGTGGGTGAGAGTATATTTGATTGTATTCATTTTCCTCATGTAGGTCCATCAAATTGCTCGAAGCTTTCGAGACAGATGGATTCCCAGATCTGTCAGAAAACGTGGCTTTATAAACAGGGATGACTGGGGGGTGAAATCTTATAGGAGTTTCAGACACAACAGATTTTCAGCATCACTGAACTATACATGTGAACAGAGTTTTAGACCTACTGAAGCAATAGATTGTGCCCAGCTGCCATTGGTTGAAACAAGTTCAGTCAATGCTGTTGCCCAGGAGGGCTGCACTGCACCATCTCTGAATGGGTGTGAAATCAGCAGGCCAATGAGACGTAAACGTAAAAGCCGATGGGATCAACCTGCGGAGACAAATTCAGTTGTAGTATCTTCTGAGCACAAGAAAGGAGAAGTTGTCTCTGGGCAGCCAAAGCAAGCTGACGTGATTATTAACGCTGTTGATGTTGAGCAGAATATTTCTAAAGATGTTCCACCTGGGTTTTCATGTTCAGTTCGGCCTTTGGGTTCTTTGAACGCCTCACGAAACTCTTGTGATCTTCCCTTGCAACAGGCAGGCCATTCTGGTTCTGGATGTTCCTCTGATGCAGTTATAGGTTGTCCAAGGGAAAAATTTAATCCTTGCTTGCCTGTCTCGTATGGAGTTCCATGGCCTGTTATCCAACAATATGGAACACCTCACGCAGACATCGAAGGCAGTTGGATCACTGCTCCAGGCATGCCTTTCTATCCGTTCCCTCCACTGCCCCCATATCGACGCCAGAGTGATTGTCAATCTTCCAAGTCTACTGATGCTATGAAAATAGATCAGCCTGCAGAAATTGTGAAGCGATTCTAGCGGTCTAGCTAGTTGTTACTCGGATGATATGTCTCCCAGCACAACTGGTCTTAATGCTAAATACCTTTCATATGAGGATGATAACCACATTTCTACACCAATGAAGGGTTTCCCTAATGATTTGGAAAGGAGTTACTTTAGGAAACAAAAATGGAATAAATAAGATATACATCGACCATGGTCCAGGAGGAAACTCTAGGGATATAAGAGCAACTCTAGGAGTGTTTTGGATAATATAGGTGTAGTAGATGTACCAGAGGATGCAATTTGTAGAGCAGCGGGAGATGACAATAATAATGGCATTTACAGCAACTCATCCCACGTTAGTTACAGGGATCCCCCCCCCCCCAAAAAAAAAAAAATTCACTCATTATTGTCTATTCAGTTATTCCTGAATATAGGTATAGATTCAATGAAAAACACTTTCAATTCCAGAACTGTTTCCTTCACTGTTAAAGCTCGACGCCCTTTGTTGGGGCCTGATGTCGTATTGTTATGATTGTTGATCAGTCCAGACCTGAGAGCGAGGGAGTGATTTTCTATTCTGAAGTGGTAAATTGTAGTTTTACCACTTTATTTTGATATGTTTATTTAAATAAAAATAGAAAAAAATTAAAACACTTCAATTCACCCATTCTACCACATCTCATTTCACGGGATCTTTGAAGAGGTACGCGTTTCTTGACAATAGTCCCTCTAAAAAAAGGAAAGAATTTGACTGCGATGCATAGATGAGACGAAATATTATTTGTAATGTAAGATATCCAATCCTTTTTTTTAACACTTGGATTCAATTCATGGTGCAGCTATATAGATTAGAAGCATCTTGTTAAAGCGCCATTGCTCTCTTTTCAAAAGGTTAACATATTAAAATGTGCAACACATCTGTTTAAATAGGTAAAACTCTCCCAAGTCCCCCCAACGTGGGACATAATAGCTCCCCTAATTAATTCATAATACCCTTGTTATGAGTGGCTCATCAGAAAGGTTTACCGAATAAGTAAACTCGAGTCTGATTCTAACATCATTTTGTCATGAGATCATTATTTTCTTTCAAGAGGCTAACCTATTAGGATGTGTAACGCACCCGTTTATATAATCAGGACCCTCCTCAAGTCCTTTTAATATGGGACGTGACAACCTACTTGTGGTGGGAGAGTAGGTTAAGCCTTTAGGCTTGCCTAATTGAAATTTTGAGATTGAGACGGGATTTTTTTTTCCAGCTATTGAGATTGGGATTCACTAAATTGCACACACCTTATATGGGCCTTGATATATTTTTTTTAAAAAAAATAGAAATAAAAACAATTGTCAAGAGACAACAAAAAGCAAAAGCACAATAATTATGAGTTTTATTATATGTGGGTATTGATATTAATGATATGCCCTCTCCCTTACATTTTTTATGATATTTTGGTGACCGTCATCATTCCATTCGTGAAAGTGTTGCTTTAATTTTAGGTTTTAGAGAGTTGAGTTTCTGTCATCTTTTTTTTTTATGATGAATTTTCTATCATTTAATTGTTTGAAATTTGCTTGATCGTTTTAAAATTTGTTAAAAAACTATGAGGTCGTGAACACTCGAGCTCCAATTTGATGGTTAGAACTCAAGCTATGCTTTTCGAGTCATTTCATGTCGTTTTAAGTTAGCAGTGTTTTTGGGACAATATTGTAAGGGGAAGCTATTAATGGAGTTAGAGAGGCAGAACTTCCAACAAATGCAAGTGCCACATTCATTGTCCTGTTCCTGGAATGAACAATTTGGTAGGTCCAAAGGACTTGATTCATTTCAAGCAGTCTTCAAAATTCAATTTTTAACGATTAAATTAGGTCATGTTTGGTGCAGGGTGGGGTTTCAACATTTGAACTTGATTCTCCTTAAACCTAATAAATGCTAGCAACGTTCACTTTCCCCTTTCAAAATAACTATACCCGCTTCCTGGTTTGATGGTATTCTGTATGGATCAGATTTTTTTAGAAAAGAAAATCTCTCCCTCTAATAAATATATTAGCCTCTTTACCAGCTTTTGCTCATGTAATGCAAAAAGTTTATTCAAATCCACTCAAAAGTTTATTGCTGAGCTTTCGGGATTCTTCTCTTCAATCATGCAATTGTTGTTTCCTTTATATCTGCTTATCGGGAATGCTTTCTGACTGACTTTGGTATTCTGTTTTGGTTTTGAAAGGACCGCACTGAAACTGAGAAAAGTAGGGCCTGGACACGTGAGAATTTCTTCCAAGTTTTTAAGCTGTTAAACACACACAATCACCTAACAACTTAGATTTATAAAATTTATTGCCGCTGGATCGAATTTTTAATTTCCCTCACAAGCCAGCCCACCAACTGACAAGCGAAGTTTCACTGTCATTCAAAAGGCTCTCCTTTTTTTTTTTTTTTGTTCTGGGGCGGCGGGGGGGGGGGGAGCGAGAGAATATTTGGTTTGCCATTGCCGTTAGGACTCTATTTATCTTTTGGTGAAGCCGTCGTTACGATCTTCCGAACCTCATCTTTTATGGCCATTTATTATTTAATATTTGATTCATTGCGACGGACTGAATCAAAACTACCCGATGTATAATTGCTCGTAAGTGCCTCTTCTGATCTAATCTTGCTTCCTTCTTGTGAGCTACAACTTACTCGAGTCTTTATTCGATCCATACACCTAGTTTTAAAATATGAAGTAATCTCGTGTTATGATGTAGGGATTCTGAGAAGCTTTGCCACTATGGATCAAATCCACAGAAAATTCTTCAAACTTTTGCACAGGTTCGATTAATTAATTAAAAATGAAGCGTTGTTGAAGTATTAATCAGCTGGATTTGCTTTGGCCCTGTGTTTTCTCTCTTTTCGTTTCTATCTCTTCTCTATTCTCTATTCTTTGTATTCTTTAATTCCTCGATTAAAGAAACACAATGTACGAAATAAGAAAGGGATCTAGTGGAAAGTAAAGCATGATGGGGGATCACACATATCGAAAAATGGAATGAGCCACACCCAATCGTAAAAAGATGTTAGGTTTTGTCAGTGAGTCACTGCCCAACATGATGGCTAAGACCATTAGCGCTGACAATGAACCCTAGAAAAGCTCAAACCCTGCGAAGTTGGACAGTCTTGCACTTCCGGAAAAAAAAAAATTACGTACACAGACCAAATCAATCGTATTTAATTTGAGGCCTCCAAACAGATTTGATCCCCTTGTATCAGACCTAATCTTTAAATAAAGTGTACAGCAAATGGATGGTCTGTTGTGTGGCAGGACAGGGACATAATTAGGAAAATGATGCTTTTATCGGTACGTGGTTTTGACGGAATATGACTTGGAAAATGATGCACGAAGAATGGCTGCTTCGTCCACATTCCCCAATCGGATCATGATAGGGCAGCCCGGTCTTTGCATGCCATCCTGATTAAAAGTTAAAACTGCATGCTTAACATTTTGAAAGAATGACAAATAAGCCTGAAAATAATTAATTAATTTAAATTAAGTATCAAGTCTTAAATTTTAAAAATTTATAATTCAATCTTTTAATTATGCAATTACATTATAATAAATTTTTAACTTACTTTTAAAATTTTAGCATGATTAAAGAATAAAAAAATTATTTTTTATTAAAATTTAAAATATAAATTATAAATTTATTACAATAGATTTATAAAATAAAAAATTTAATTATAAAATTTTAAAATTTAATACTTAAAATTTAAGTTAAATTAATTAATGTTTTTAGGATCTACATGTTATTCTTCCTCACATTTTATTTTGATGATTACAGTAATAAAAAAGGATGAAAAGGCTGAATATTAAAAAAAGAAAACGAATTTGCGGTGCACGTGTGCGACTGTGAGTACTCTGCTGGCATAGGTGGACCTAACATAAAAAGCTGCAACGAGGAGTGAGGTTTATGTTAAGGTGGCAATATATGGTTAATTGGACGCTCCCTCCTTCACAGGTTACAACCCTCCAAAGCTGATTGCATTACCTTTCATCCCCACCGACCCAATCAATGCATCAACACTCACTTTGGTGGTTTCTGTTCTAGCTTCATCAAAATATCATACTGCATACGACACCTGACGTTATCCTCATCAAAAAGCATAGACGCAAAGTCTAACACTGACATGATAGCTCAAACTTACTAATAAATGTCTCATTGTGAATACTATGTCTATTGTTACATTACATAAGCCATGTTGTTCCATGCACGTATTGAAGCAATTTCATCAACTTTGATAACGAATAAGTAAGTTAAATTTAACATCTTGTTAATGAAATACGAACGATGTAACATATTAGTCGAAAAATGGATGCACCGACCCATTTCATCATCTGTATATTAGGCCGTCTGTATCTCATTAGATGTTAATTTCTTAATTATTACTTTTCCGTTAAAGAGGAAAAAAGGTACGTCATGAGAGAGGGATTTAGGTCCAACGTCTTTCACGGGAGGGTCCGTTGGTCAAAATCTTGGGCGTTTAAAGGTATAAACTTTGTTAGAATCTTACTCGAAAAGCCGGTTGGCAATGAAGATGCGAAAGTTGAAATGACTTCATCAAAGTAAACCGAAATATAATCAGCGTGTTCAGTACTAGTTCAAGCTGTACGTTAAACTTCCCGATACAGCTTTTCTCTCTCAAGTCTGGTACTCTGCTCTGGCGTGCCACCATGAAAAGCGAACCAAACGACGGTTGACGCCATACCTTCTCCCATTCTCAAGCTATATGAACTTCATTATCTTTTATCAGTTACAGCTGTCAGCCCTAAGGAAAACACTACCTCCTCTGATTTGATCCCCAAAATGAAAATACTACAAACGGGAGAGGCCCGAGATGTCCAAGACGGAAGCTCCGGTAGCCGGACGGTGGTGGTAGCAATGAAGTTGGACTCGGCCAGCAAGGAGCTGCTCACATGGGCTTTGGTCAAAGTCGCTCAGCCTGGTGATGTTGTGGTGGCTCTTAATGTTCTTGGCAACAATCGTAAGTGCTGATTTTTGGGTTCAGTTTTTCTTTCTAATTTTCATTCGAGGATGCGGGTTAGAGTGGCTATTGATGACTGGTTTTGGTGAAATGGGTTCGTGTAGAAATCGTCGATCGAGATGGGAAATTGTCCCTTCTTTCTCTTGTCAACGCATTCGACTCTGTTCTTGCTGTTTATGAAGGTTTCTGCAATTTAAAACAGGTTCAATTCTGTGTCTTTTTTCTGTTCCTCTGAGAAACGTAAGGTAAAACTAAATAATTTCAAATAATATTTAGAATACATTTCGAACATGAGATTTTTTGTTTAAATTGTTCAGGTGGATCTCAAGCTCAAAGTTTGCAGAGGTCCATTAGTCCGTAAAATATTAGTCCGGGAAGCAAATGCTTATTCTGCAACTCATCTTATAGTAGGAATAGCCCATACCCTCCATACAATTCGGCCGACCACCTCCGTAGCTAAGTACTGTGCCAGAAAGTTATCCAGGAACTGCTGTGTTCTGGCTGTTAATAATGGGAAAGTAGTGTTCAAGAGTAATGGCTCCCCAGCAACTCCTTCTCACTTTAAAGGTTTTAGTTTTTCTGAAGATTGTTGTAATGTATTGTTAGTCTCACGGATATAATTTGAACTCAAGCATCAACCTGTTGCAGGAATTGATCGTCGGAGCAAAATTGGTTTGCTTGAAACCATTCACCGGACATTCAATAAGAGTTCTAAAGTACTAAATGACGACACTACAGAAAATAAGCATGGTAAATCTTTTCTGGGGTCTAAAGAATCTTTGATTAAGAAACCAAGCTGCCCAATAAGTGGCTCAATTTCAGCACTGCCAAGCATATCCTGCCACCATTCTGCTTCAGGTGATGCTTTGGATGTAGTGCCTGTACATACAACTGAAGCAGCATCAAGTACAGCAACCACCTTGTCTGACAGAGAACTACCTGAGCTGAAACCTGGTTGGCCATTGTTACAACGGACAGTTTTATCAGATAGAGAGTCCCATGATATATCGTCGATGCGCCAGATATCTGTGGTCCAGTGGGCAATGCAGCTGCCTTGTAGGAATCTTTCATATGACACAACAGATCATGATCATAAACAAACTATAGCCTTAGATGGCAGAAGCGGTGCTATTGTTCCAGTTGATGTTGTAATAAGGACTGATTCTTCTTCACCAGGCCGCAATTCAAAAAGCATTCCTAAAGAATTAGAGGATCTACACGAGAAATACTCATCCATGTGCAGATTGTTTCAATATCAAGAACTTGTACGGGCAACTTCAAATTTCTCGCCAGGTATGTTCTGCAGTGATGGTTTTCTGTGAAGTTCATTTTCTCCAAAAGTGATTCATTGTTAACATGAATTAACTGTATGATTTCAGAAAATTTGATTGGAAAAGGAGGAAGTAGTCAGGTGTATAGAGGTTGCCTTCCTGATGGCAAGGAGCTTGCCGTTAAGATTTTAAAGCCTTCTGATGATGTTTTGAAAGAGTTTCTATTGGAAATAGAAATTGTCACTACCTTGCACCATAAAAACATTATTTCCCTCTTGGGTTTCTGCTTTGAGGATGGCAATCTTCTTTTGGTCTATGATTTTTTGTCTAGAGGAAGCCTTGAAGACAATCTTTATGGTAAGACAAATTAAAGCACGTCATACAGCAGCTATTGCTCTTGACTTGATTACTTACGGTCTCAATAACTTTCTATTGTCATCACGTGTCATGCTTAATTAGGGAATAAGAAAAATCCACTCGTTTTTGGCTGGACCGAGAGATATAAGGTGGCAGTGGGTGTTGCTGAGGCTCTGGATTATCTGCATAACAATGGTGCTCAATCTGTGATCCACAGAGATGTGAAGTCATCAAATGTATTATTATCTGAGGACTTTGAGCCCCAGGTAGTCTCTATTTTTTCGATCAATAGCTAAGTCTCTTTGGGTTCATTTGGTTGTTGGGGAATGGAATGGTATGGAATAACCTGATGAATAACAAAATGAACTAAAATAAAGTTATGGATTGGTAAAGAGTTGAGGACAATAGAGAGCTGGAAACTATGGGGTGATAGAGGAGTGGGAATGGAGATTGACATGAATAAAGTCATCAATCTCCATTTTTATCTATCCATCACACTCCATGGCTCTCATCTCTCTAATTCTGATCTTTCTATCAATAAAAAACCTTATTTCAGTTTATTTTATTCTCTATTAACACATTCCATTCCATTCCTTTTATTTCCAACTACCAAACAGGTCCTATGTTGACATTCTTTCTACGCTTATTTGCACAAATTGCGCTTTTTGATCCTTACACTATTTTTGCTTTAATTTGTCCAGCTCTCTGATTTTGGTCTTGCTAAATGGGCGTCAACCTCATCTTCACATATAACCTGCACAGTCGTTGCTGGAACTTTTGGGTTTGTACTTTTAACTCCTACATGTCCATACCATCAGTTTCTGTCCATAAATATCCTATTTGATCAGAGAAAGAATAAATGGACTGGTCCTAAAATATAAAGCTCACACGTCCATGCAGTTACTTGGCTCCAGAGTACTTCATGTATGGCAAAGTCAATGCTAAGATTGATGTCTACGCATTCGGTGTTGTCGTCCTTGAGCTTCTTTCTGGAAGAAAACCCATAGGTGGAGATTACCCTAAAGGTCAAGAGAGCCTCGTTATGTGGGTATGTCCCCATAATCCTGTGCTCCATTCATTAACCGCTTATATTGCAATTACATGTACCAGGGGATAAACAACGATGATCTCTTTTACAGGCAAGTCCAATTCTTAATAATGGAAAGGTGTCACAGCTGTTAGATCCAGGTTTGGGCGATAACTATGATAATGAGCGGATAGAGAGGATGGTGTTGGCAGCCAAACTTTGTATAAGACGTGATCCAAGAGCTAGGCCTCCTATGAGCCTTGTAAGTAATCTATACTTGAATTCGTCTCGAACTAAATCTTCTAGGCGATATAGAAATGGATGGGAAATGGCTTCATAAAGTGTTCTCCACTTCTCTTTCTCTCCATATTAATTGTCCTTTGTTGTCAGATACAAATTTCACATGTATAATGTATTCCTTTGGACCGCAGATTTCGAAGCTTCTTCAAGGGCATGCTGATGTGGTCAAATGGGCAAGATTAGAAGCTAATGCTTTGGAGAAACCAGGCATGCTCAACGATGAAGCTTGCGCGCCTTCTAATCTGCAGTCGCATCTCAATACTGCACTGCTTGACGTGGACGATGACTCAATCTCGATGGGCAGTGTTGAGCAGAATGTGTCCTTGGAAGACTACTTAAGAGGTCGATGGAGCCGCTCATCCAGCTTTGACTGATAAAAAAATTGCTTGCTTGAATTCTCTTTATTTTATTTTCTTTTTTTTAATCTAATTTTTTTTTTTGGGTTACCTCTTGCATAAGCTTGATTCCCCCCCCCCCTTCTGGGCTTAGGATGAGAGGTTGTTTATAGGTGCCCTCCTCCCCGCCTTGAATAGTCTGGAAATTAAGCCTTGTGATTTCATGGGATAGTTTCTTTCTGTTGATTTGATTCTATTTGAAATGTACGCAAATTTAATTGTAATCTTATCATAGCGGTGAGGGATGAATGAGTTTGTATATAAGTGTTCGTGTGAAGTCCAATAAAAGTAAGTGATTTCAATTTCTTCGATCGCGTGTTGTCGTTAGGTTAAATTAGTGGCCGTCTTTTAAATTTATCCTTTAAATGTAAAATATCTCAGACTATTTTTTTTCCTTTTTATTTCATTTCGTTGAAATTCTGTTATCAAATTGCTTGAGAGAGGCCACGGTTTTATATTAACGAGGCTTTGGTAAGAAGAAATTGAGAATACTTAGCTCGACACGAAAATTCTAAATCACATTTAATAGAAAAAGTATAAATCAAGGGTGGCCCAAAAAAACTGTGTGTGTGTCAGCTATGATCTACCCAACGCTTGGTAAAATACTCATACCAACAGCAACAGGGGTTGGGGTGCCCACTTTAAAATGAGATCGCTCCCCCGCACCTTTCGTTTTCAGATCCGCATGATGACCGATGTTTCCGATCTCTTTACGTACACACAGCTCTCTTCTCCGAATGCTACTTACCATCGCCGTTCATCACCTTCACTCTTTCTCTTTCTCTCTCGTTCTCCAGCTCGAAAGTAAATCTCTGCTTTTCCTTCGCTTTCCCGACTCCCATGGCTTCCACAGTGGATTCCACTGCCCATACGCTGTCCCAGCTTGGTGTCCATGATGATTTCGCTTCTTCTGTCCCAAATCTTGAAAAAAATCTCAACCTTTTGCCCCAAGAACAGGTATATCTCACGATACATATGTATTGATTTAGTTTGGTGCGTGCGCGCATCCGTTTCCTCTGTTGATGTGAAAATTGAAATGGCTCTGTTGTGGTTTGGAAATGACGAAACCAGGTTGGGCTCGCGAAGATGCTGTTGGAGATGGGGCAAAGTCATTTGTTTGAACATTGGGCGGACCCGGGTGTCGATGACGACTTAAAGAAAGGCTTTTTCGAGCAGGTAGGGGCTCTGCACTTGCATTTCATCATTCAAGTTTGCGTCTTTTAACAGGATGATTTCGTTCGAGCAATAGGGTTATGCGAGCTTGCATTTTGAAAATTGTTAGCTTGGTTGGATTGCAATGTGCGGGTTAACGATTTATTCTGCCTTAGTTCTGGGTAGCTGTTTAAAGTATTCTAAAGAAATTGATTCTGAAGAGAACTCGCTGTGCTCGTTCGAATTAAACTAAAACTCCTCTCCGCCTTCTTAACTTCTAATTGTTGTTTTGTTGGTTTTTTCGCCTATAGCGATTGTTTCCAAATTTCCTTCTTTACCATGAAATATTAAATTAATTAAATTAAATACATGTTCCTTATGATCCTATCATCTAGTTCGATTGGCAATTTGGCATAGCATAAGATGTTCCTGTTACTGTGTAAATATGCCTAGAAACAAGCTTCTACAGTTCTTTTTGAAGGTCTTGCCTTTGAACTGCAACTTGTTTTGTCTAAAAATCTTTGTCTGTGATAGTATAATGGCATCTGTTTGAACGTGTCTGAAGAACCATATCTCCTTGCATCTCTTCTTCCTCTAACAGTAATTTCTCTAGGTGGCTCGCCTAAATTCAAGCTGTCCTGGGGGTTTGGCATCGTACGTTAAAACCGCTAGAAGACTCTTGGCTGATTCAAAAGATGGAAAGAATCCATTTGATGGCTTCACGCCTTCTGTAAGTGATCAACATATATGCTGGTGTAAAGTTTATGATTACATAGCATGTTGTCTTATAAGAATTTAATATTCCCGTGTTGACTCTATGAGCCATCTGATCTTGGAATTCTTCGTATGGATTTGGAATATATATAACTAGGAGGCATAGGATTGCGGTAATTTTTTTTTTTATTTTAAACATTTTCTATGTCATTTAAGATGAAATCATGTGAAGGCAATTCAGTTTTTGTTTGGTGAAATTGTTTGATATGTTAGGTTTTTTATTAATATTATTGAATATTATGTCGACAAATATTTCAAAACCTTTTTTGCTGTCAACTTACTAATAAGGGCATAAGTAAATCTAATTTTGCAGTTAATATTATACGAATAAATATTTTAAAATTTAATTTTAATTAATTTTTTACTTTTTATTTAATCAAAATGTGGGAAATAAAACAAACAAATATATAAAACCTTTATCAAGATAAATACATATAAAATAAAAAATTAAAAAATGTATATCTAAATTCATCAAAATAAGTATACAAAGATAGGAGAATAGATGAAAATGAAAATAGAAAAACAAACAACTGTAACAAAAAAGATACTGAATGATATACTCCCTTCATTCAAAAATATAAAGCATTTTTAACTGAATCTGATCCTCTAATAAAGTAGTTACTTGTCTTTAAATTAACTCTATTTTTTCATATTTATCTCTATTTAATAGGGTGTTTCAATCTAAAATAAATATGAAGTGACTTATTCAATGGTGGGATTTGTGAAAAAAAAAAAACAATGATTATACCTTAAAAGACTAAAAATTTCTTACATTTTTTAGCGAAGGGAGTGGTAATTACTCATTATGAAAATGGCACTTTTGTCTTGCAAAAATGATCCATTATTTTTACTTATTTTTAAAAGAAAGCTCCAATTTTCTACTCTCTTTCCAAGTTATGACAGAAAAGTTGTTGAATCTGGATTTTTTACCATGCATGTTGTGCAGTGTTACATTGAGAAAATTTTAAGATAAGATTAAACTAAATTGAGAGGTTTTATAATTAAAATCCTCTGCACAATACAGACACAAGATCCTTGTGCAGAGTTGCTTCTACTTTTACTCAAGCAGCTTCTGTTTTAAAAAGCTTCGTTAAACATTTTAAAATTAAAGAAATACTATTTTAAAGATGAGTCATTAAACAACTTCTCTTGGAAAAAAAGAAAAGAAGAAGCTTGATATATCATAAGTTCATTTGCTAATATTTTGTAGGTTCCAACTGGTGAGAATTTAACATTTGCTGATGATAATTTCACCTATTTTGAGGAGGTAGGTATAAAGGAAGCTCGAAAAGCTGCATTTATTCTTGTTGCAGGGGGCCTTGGGGAGCGTCTAGGATACAATGGAATCAAGGTCATCTATGTGCCCTGTATAATCATTTTATATTGCAGTATTCTTTGTTTCTTATCAATTACCATGAGCCTGTGATAGCATTTGATCCCCACTCCCTAGCCCCCCAGTTCTGTACTGGATGTGTGATGAAGAGATTTTGGGAATACAAGGAGGTCCTTTGAGACCTAATGTGAATTATACAAGAAGTTGAAATCTTGTTAATCAAAATTTACCTTAGGGCAATTAAGGGAGTTTTGAGGCTCTTAAGTTTAAATTTCCTAAGCAGAGCAGATTGTTTGTGGATGGGCTTTGATATTCTCTCTTCCGAAAGCATTCTTAATGTGGTTAGAAATAGTATTTATTTAATGTAAATATTTGTTGTTATTAGGAGAGATATTGGGTAGTTAAAATAGAGGGATTTACGCGATTCATTCCCTGATATTCTGCTTTGATTCTATCTTCTTTATTCTCAGAGATTTGATCATTCTTCCTCACGTATATATTTCTGTACATATCTTCTGATCAATATAGAAGCATTATTCGGTTTAATAGTTACATGGTATCAGAGCCACAACACTCTCTAGTAGAATCTGACGCCGAGAGCTTTGAAGCAGATAGTATCAAGGGCGAGTTGAACCCAGCTAACACTGTCCTAATGTTGATTGATGGTGGATCCTCGAAGATTGATTTGAGCAAGGTAGGTGGTCTCATAGGATTAACTACCAGCCACGAAGGGTCTTCAGTACATCTCGTCTCTATGGAGCTCAACGGTGCGAACTATTGTATGTGGGCACAGGCCATGAAAATCGCGATTAGAGGTTGGGGGAAGATGGGCTACCTTGATGGTTCATCGAAAACTCCGGAAGAATCCAAGACGCAAGAGCTCTAGCAGTGGCACACTGAAAACTCGCCGGTATCGTCTTGGCTGATAAATGCCATGGTTTTAGAAATCCAGTAAAGGTTTATGTTTCTTCCCTCAGCCCATGAAATCTGGAAGGCTATGCAAGACTCATACTTTGATAAGAAGGATTTGGCTCGCATATATGAGCTTAAAATGAAAGCATGGACACTGCAACAGGGGGAGCATGATGTCATGACCTTCTGGTTAGAGCTTAATGCTATTTGGTAGGAACTAGACCTGATGACAGACTTGGAGTGGTCAATCAGCCAAGATGCAACACGGTATAAGGAGCAGATTGAAAGCGAATGAGTATTTCAGTTTTTGGCTGGTCTAAACCAATCTTTGGATGATGTATAGGGACGAGTTCTAAGTCGTATACTGCTTCCATAACCAAGGAAGTATTTTTTGAGGTGCGTCGTGAAGCTTCAAGGCACAAAGTCATGCTTCCAAGACCTACTTCTACTCAACCAACTTTAGACTCAGCTGCACTTGTGAGTAAGAGCAATGACACGAATTAGAAGACCCAAAAAGGGAAGGTGACCTGTGACTATTGTGAGAAGATTGGACATACTCGTGAGACTTGTTGGGATATACATGGGAAACCAGTTGATTGGAAGTCGAGAAAAGGAAAGACACGAAGATATCAAACTTCCCATGATGTACCACCAGATAAACCAGAATCAACCCTACTGGTGCCTAAGATTGATAAGGAACAACTCGGTAAGTTACTCGAGATGCTCAATATGCTCTAGCAAAATGAAAAAAGGTAGAAACAAAACCATACTGCATCTGTGGCTCATAAAGGTAATCATGTCTTACTTACTTCTACTAATAACTTCAAATGGATTGTTGATACTAGGGCAATATGGCATCAAACTCTACGCTATTCAGTACCTATGCTCCTAGTGCTGGAAATGAAACAGTGAGCACAGCAAATGGCTCTTCCTCATCAATAGCAGGGATAGGAAGTGTTGTTATTTCTGAAATTATGAAATTAGAACATGTTTTACATGTACTGTACTTGGCTTGTAGTTTATTGTCCATTAGTAAGTTGACTAAACAGGCAAATTGTTGGGCTCATTTCTGTTCTACTCATTGTATATTTCAGGACCTCTCATTAGGGAAGATGATTGGCAGCGCTAAAGAGCATAATAGTCTCTGTTATCTTGATAAATCTACCATGAGTAGTCTTTGGTCTCGAATCCAGTGCAATGTTGCATCTACCTTTGAAAACAAAGACTTTAAAGATCTTATGTGATGTGACCGTGAGATATGGTCAGACTTATAAGAGGAGATTAAGGGGGCAATTGGGTGTAGAAAGGAAATACCTATTGGGTTAGGATTAATATCCTTGGGGTCCAGAAAAGAAGGATTATGCCATGATGTTTTGGTAGGGTGGCTTAGATTTAGTCTCGATATTGAAGTCACCTTTTTGCTTGCTTTATTTGGATGTATTATTTTTGTTGGCACTCAAGGATGTTTTAGAGAAGTTAGACAGAAGTGAGGAGAGTGCTGGTCTCTCAAACACCAGTGAGAGACCTTTTCTTGTTGCTGTGTTCTTTCATTTGGTTTGTAATTTCAGTTATAGGGAATAGGGTTTTGGCTAGAATCAGTGAGTTTCTGTTGTAACACTGATTCGGTTCATATGCATTAATATCAAAAACCTCAGAATTTCCCTCATTTATTTCTCTTTGTATTAAAAGCTTGGTTCTATTAGTTACTTTAGATCAGAGCTCTATCATTATGTTATGGCATAGGAGAATGGGTCATCCAAATTTGCAGTATTTATGTCATTTGTTTCCTAAATTTCAAGCCAATAAAAATTCTTCATTTCATTGTACTGACTGTGAACTTGATAAACATCACATATTTGTTTTCAAACCCGTGGAATATAAGTCTACCCGTCCTTTTTCCATAATCCATAGTGATTTGTGGGGTCCTACTCGTGTTACTAATTGTCCTAATACAAAATGGTTCATTACATTTATTGATGATCACACTAGAATATGTTGGGTTTACTTATTACAAGATAAGTCTTATGTATCCTCTGTTTTCTCCAAATTTTATACTATGATAAAAAACCAGTTTGATGCCACAATCCAAGCGCTTCATACTGATAATGGGACCGAGTACTTCAATAAAACCATGGATCTGTTTCTAGCGGACCGTGGAATTGTCCATAAAAGCACCTATCCTAACACTCCTCAACAAAATGATGTTGCAAAAAGGAAAAACAAACATCTTTTAAAAGTTGCTTGTGCTTTATTATTCACATATAATGTTGCCAAATATTTCTGGGGTGATGCCATCCTTACATCAATATACTTAATCAACCGCATGCCAAGTCGTGTTCTTTCCTATATTTTACCAATTGAGAAACTCAAAGAATCTCACTCCATCACTCAACTTGCCATTGACCTACCTCTTAAAATATTTGGTTACACCACCTATGTTTACTCTTACCATTCCCAAAAATTGGATCCTAAAGCTGTCAAGTGTCTCTTCCTTGGTTATTCCTCAACACAAAAGGGGTATAAGTGTTTTGATCCTTATACTAAAAAACTCTATGTAAGTTGAGATGTTACCTTTGTTGAGGATGAACTTTTTTACCCAAATGCTTCAATGCAGGGGGAGAGAGGGAGTGACTTTCAGCATTAGGACTGTAAGGATGTTTAGGTCCTGTTATTCCAGAAAAACCAAAAAATCTTTATGTTCCAAAAAAACCCCAGAAAATCCTCAATCTCAGTACAATACAGATTTTGAATCTCTTGTCCCTCATTTTACCGAACTCAGAATCCAGCCTCCGAGGCCAGAAACTAAGGTGAGAAGTCTTTCAAAGCATAATGAAGATGCAGAAAATGCACTACAAAACACACCAATCACTTACCCGAGGAAGAAATGGCGAGAAAGGGAGACTATTATGCCTAAAGTACAGCCAGAATCTGAACTAAGAGGAGCTCCTGAGACTGAGAACATAGAGAGTGAAAATCACTCTCAAAAATCTGAGGCAAAAGAGGTAATTGAGATGGAGGAAGTGGAAGAATTAGATTTACTTATAGCCCTTAGAAAGCAACCTAGATTGTGTACACAGCATCCTATTCAAAGGTTTGTGAGTTACTGTACCTTATCTTCACAATTTCATGCATTTGTAACTAACCTTGACAAAGTGAAGATTCCTGATGATGTGTATGAAGCTTTGAGCATTCCACAATGGAAAAATGCTGTACTTGGGGAAATGAATGCATTGGAAAAGAATGGCACATGGGAGATAGTAGAACTTCTAAAAGGAAAGAAAGTTCTGGGATGTAAATGGGTATTTAACCCTAAATATGATGCTGCAGGAAATTTAGACAGATTAAAGGCACGTTTGGCAGTGAATGGTTTTACTCAAACGTATGGTTTGGATTACAAAGAGACATTTGCTCTCGTGGCCAAACTGAATACAATCAGAATTTTGATTTTTGTAGCTGTAAATCTGGATTGGCCCTTGCATCAACTAGATATTAAAAATGCTTAATTAAATGGGGATCTTAAGGAAGAAGTCTTTATGACGTTGCCCCTAGGTTTTGACGCAGGGAGAACAAATCAGGTGTGTAAGCTGAAAAAAATTTTGTATGGTTTAAAACAATCACCTTGTGCTTGGTTTGACAGATTTTCCAAAGTTTTGAGAGCAAAAGGGTACACACAGGGGTTGTTTGATCATACTATGTTTGTGAAGATGAAAGTGGAAAAAGGTGTTTCCTCATAGTGTATGTTGACGACATAATTGTCACCGGTGATCATGAGGAGGAAGTAAAAAGAATAAAGATGGCTCTTAGAGGGGAATTTGAAGTGAAGAACCTTGGGAATTTGAAGTACTTTCTGGGTATGGAGGTTGCAAGGTCACAAAAAGGGATCCATGTGTCCCAAAGGAAATACATCATCGATTTGCTTACTGAGACAGGTATGTCAGGGTGTAGACCTACAGACACACCTGTCGTGGTTAAGAAAAAGGGGAAGAAACCGAGGAAAGAGAAGGAAGATGAGGTTGAATCTGAAGAAGATGACTGTGAAGAGGAAGAAGAGAAGAATGAGTCAATGGACAAAGGGACATACCAAAGGTTAGTTGGGAAACTAATCTATCTCTCTCACATTTGGCTAGATATAGCTTTTGCAATAAGCATTGCAAGTCAATATATGTGCAACCCTAGGGAGAGGCACATGAAAGTAGTGTATAGAATCTTGAGATACTTGAAAGGAACACTTGGAAAAGGGTTGTTATTCAAGAAACAAAACTTATAATCCATAGAAATTTATATAGATGCAGATTGGGCAGGAACATACAAGGATAAGAGGTCAACGTTAGGATATTGTTCCTTTGTATGGGGAAATTTAGTCTCATAGAAAAGTCAAAAGCAAAGAGTGGTCTCTAGGAGCAACACTGAATCAGAATTAAGGGCTTTGGCTCAAGGCATTTCAGAAGTTAATAGAATTAACGCTAGCTGAGTTCTTGCCCAATGTCTACCTGATACTGGTGTATGGGGACCATGGAGTCATACTGGTACCTTTTCATGTTGTTGAGCAAGATTTTCACTACCCAACCTCTAATCTAGATGCTTTGAATGTTATCATAGCTGTGGTCTCATTGATATTCCACTTTTTGGCCCAATGAAAGGCTTATTGCCTAATTTGTTTTCTTATGATGCCTTACTGTTTGTTGTGCATGTCTAACATCAACATATGCAAAACTATTATCTGATTGGGGATAATCCTGTTTCTCAGCTAGTTTTTTTCATCTTACAGGTTTCTCTTCCTGTAGAAACAACTACTGGAGCATGTTTCCTGCAGCATTATATAGAATATATATTGGCTCTTCAAGATGCCAGCTGTAAACTACTACCAGGTCAATCTTATGCATAAAAATAGAGTTGTTTCTTGGCTCCTGTTTTAGTTGCTTTTTGTATTAAAATGGATAGCGTGAATTTGTTAGCCTGAATAGATCTTATATAAGAGTGTGCTACATCTTCCGGATTCAATATGATCTTATTTAGGGATTCTCGAAAAAATTTGCTTATACTCCTCTTTAAACCCCATTTTTATGACTAAGTAAAAAGGTCCATAAATAAAAGAATAATTAAAATCAATAGATTGTCAGTGTGTCATTAGGAAATTCTTGTCTCCCCTCCAACAATGCCTCACTTTGGTTTCATTTGTTAATTTTAATTTATATTCATATAATATTGCTGCTTGCAATTTTTTTAGATGAATGCCAGACGCAGATTCCTTTTGTCATCATGACATCTGATGACACATGCACGCACCTTAGAACTCTTGGAATCAAATTCTTATTTTGGGATGCAATCCACACAAGTGAAACTTTTAAAGCAGGTATGGCTTTTGATGTCATGGGGAAAGTTCAATTTAGCTATAAAATGCTTTTGTTGGCCTGTTAAATTTTTGTACATATCAGGAAAAAGTAGCATGCTTAGATGATAATGATGCCAGGCTAGCAGTAGATCCACATAACAAATACAGAATTCAGGTATTGTGTATTGAGTGTATAATTGTATGGATGACAATTTTACTTGGCAAAATGCATTGAATGGAGAGAATTTTTATTTTAATTTATGAAGTGCAATAACAATTTCTCTTTTAGTAGACAAAACCTCATGGACATGGCGATGTGCATGCACTTCTTTATTCCAGTGGTCTTCTGAAAGTGTGGTATGACTCACCGCTTACGAATACATATAAGTTCATGATATCAATATAAACTGAAACAGATCTGTTTGTGTCTTCTTTTATATTTTCCTGCTTGTAGTGTTATATTGATCATGTTCATGTCAAAAGATTAATTTGCTTGTTAAAATTAATGTATCTTGTATCTGAATGTCTTGGTAATTTTCAGAATCTTTTAAATATCAGGGTACATTTTCACCCGAAAAGATATTCATGTAAAGGGCTGTGAGATTGGCAATCTTGATTGATATATCTCTAAATTGATGGGTTTACATTCTCAAATTACTAGAAATGGAAGGGAAAATGTGGGCACCTAGAATGGTTGTTAAAAGCAATGTTGGTTTTTCATCGTCTCTAGAATTAATTGTATAGTGTTCCAGAGTTTTAGAAAATGATGGTGAAAACTGAAAAGTTATTTCTTTCTCGTGATAAACGTTTTGATTTTCAGTTCAATACAATCTGCCTTAATCTGCTTTTTGACGGGCTTGTTGCTGGTTTGAAATGGGTCCTCTTTTTTCAAGATACAAATGGACTTCTTTTCAGGGTCAGTTGTTTTCACATGTCATATCTTCTGTTACTGTCTTTTGGATTGCTCATTGATGTAATGCAAATATTCATTGCCTAGTATTTTTGAGGATACAGGCAATTCCTGCAGCACTAGGTGTCAGTGCTACCAAACAGTACCATGTTAACTCTCTTGCTGTGCCTCGGAAAGCAAAAGAAGCTATTGGAGGGATTACCCGACTCACTCACTCTGATGGTAATTTCATCTGTTTCCTAACAGATACAGAAAAACATCTGTGATATGTGATCTCAATGGCTAATGTGTTTTAGTGGAGTTTGTTGGCATCACTGTTTTGCCTCTGAAGTGGATAGATTGCATTTTTGATGCTGATCTCTCAGAGATTTCTCAGAACCCCTAGTATTATTCATATTGTTGGACTCTTGATAGATAAATGTAATTTAGATTTCCTGCTCATGCTACTGACCATCTAGCGCTGGTTTAAAATCTTGGTCACTGAACTACAAATAGACAGTGTTAAAATGAATGAAGTTCTATAAAAACGTGAAAAAGTATAGTTTACCCAAAGAAAATCAAATTATTAGTTCAAAACATCTAACATTACTGACAAGCAACAGCTCATTAAGACAATAGAACAACAGATCAGTGTCTTTCTATCCTTGCCAACCAGGGACAGAAAACACTACAATATTTCTTGTTGCTTTATGGACTGCTGCTTCCCTCTGAGATGAAATACAAAGACTGAGCGGGATTATAGTTAGAAGTGCATTAATGTTTTGTCAGTAGTGACAAAAGAAGTTATCGTGTTGTCAGTGAGTTTTGCAAATATGCTTGTGATTCACATGGCATATGAATACCCTATTTCTAGTATTTGACTATCAATCTGAAAGGCATATCATCTCAGGGAGGACAATGGTGATAAATGTGGAATACAATCAACTAGATCCTCTCCTCAAGGCAAATGGACAACCTGAAGGTGATGCCAATTGTGACACTGGCTACTCACCTTATCCAGGAAATATAAACCAAGTAATTGTGAAACTCAATATTCTGTTTATCTCCCTTGGTGGTATGAGCTTTTATTCAGTTATTTTTTATTGCTTTCAAATATTGTTTTTGTATCTGTATTATTAACTTAACTTTTTTTTTTTTGAGCACTCAATTCATAATTTAAAAATCAATTCAATCAGCTCATTTTTTCTTCCTGATGTGAATTATATGGCGTCTTTCCTATAACTTTTTTTATATTAGTGCTGACTGATTGTGGGTTGATGCTATTAGACCATATATTTGCCACGTATACCAAAAGTAATGCATTATTTGCACTTTTATATGCAGAAATCTATTTATTGTGATATGCCTCCTGAGATGCTGCTTAGTGTTAGTTGTACCTCCAAGTTATTAAACAGAATCCCCTCACCCACCACATCCTGAGTGGTTCTTGACATCTTCATGTACTAAAAATAAAAGATAGAAAATGGTTTTGTTATAATGATTATTTTTATTTTTTGATATCCATGTTCTGATTTAGTTGACCTGCTTCATGCTTGCATCATATTGCTTAGTGACAATATCTTTTCTTTCATTTGACAGTTGATACTAGAACTTGGTCCTTACATTGAAGAGCTCACAAAAACAGGAGGTGCTATAAAGGAGTTTGTTAACCCAAAGTAATTTTAATTAACTGTGCTCATTATATTTGATTTTTCCACCATGTATCACTATAGCATGCTTCAATTTTATTTAGCTGCTTTCATGACTATTTTTTAATGCATTAGAAGCTTTAATTTTTTTGGCCTTTTCGTCAGATGGAAAAATTTTGGTAGAAACTTGTAATAGATTACTATTCTTGTCTTTTGTAGATAACTGAAGCTTGTTGGTAATTTTTAAAAGTATATTGGTATGTAGAATTAATTCTGGATTGATAGAAATAGAGAGAAGGTAGAGAAATGCAAGAAAAGAACAGGGAAGATAGACAAAGATGAAGAGAAATTGAGAGATTAAGGGGAAGGGGTTGAGAGGAATTGAGAAGTAGAGGAACTGCTGAATAATACCCATTTCCTGATCATAATGATAAGATCACAATTGAATGCCTCAGCCTCTATATATAGGCTTCAAGTCATCCCTTCCCAATGGCTATATTCTAAAAACATACTAACTAACTATAACTAATCATGTCATAATTACAAATCTATAATACCCCCCCTCGAAGAGATCCTTGCCCTCAAGGATCAGTGATAATAAATTGGGGAAATTGTTGCTGGAATTGATGCAAAGCTGTCCAAGACACTTCTTCATCAGGCAACTACTTCCACTTGACCAAAATTTCAGTAATGATCCTCCCCCTTTTTCAACCAACTCTCTTTTGTAAAATACATTCAGGCTCTAAAGCTAGAGGTGCCTTAGGCCAGTCAAGAGGCGGATGCCTCTGCTTTACTTTAGGATCACGACATAACTTTAGTAAAGACACATGAAAGGTTGCGTGTATTCTGGATTCAAGTGGCAGTTCTAACTTGTAAGCCACTGCTCCAATTCTTTGGATCACCTTATAAGGACCAAAATATCTAGGAGCTAATTATTGAGTGCTCTTAGAAGCTGCAAAAAGTTGTATGTAGGGTTGTAACTTTAAGAAGACCCATTGCCCCACTGCAAATTCACGATCAAACCTGTGTGAATCTGCCTTTTGCTTCATCATATTTGTAGCTCGATGAAGATGGTGTTTGAGAACAGCTATCATTTCTTCTCTTGCTGTGAATGATCTGTCCACAGCATCTAACACACTATTATGAAGTAAATAGGGAGAATGGAGAGAAAGTTTCTGACCATATAGAAGCTTATAGGAAGTAGCCTTAGTTGCTGTGTGAAAAGTGGTATTATACCACTTCTGCCTGAGACAACCAGTTACTCCACTTTTTAGGTTGTTCCCAACACATACGTTGGAGATAAGTTTCCAAACAATGATTAAGCACTTCGGATTGCTCATTCATTTGAGGGTGATATGAAGTAGACAAATGTCACATCCAAAACCTGTAAAAACTCTTTTCAAAACCCACTAACAAATAAAAGGTCACGATCACTAATAATTTCAGATGGTACCCTATGTAATTTATAAACATGATCCATAAAAATTTGGGCTAAAGTAGAAGCTAAAAAAGGATGAGTAAGTGGTAAAAAGTGTGCATACGCACTCATATGATCAATTACTACCCAAATAGTGTCCTTACCAAAGGATATAGAGAGTCCTTCAATGAAATCCATAGTGATACTCTCCCACATCTTGCTAGGAATAGGCAAAGGCTGTAATAATCCAAGAGCAACAACAGTCTCATACTTACACCTAGCACATGTGTCACACTATTTAATGAAATCAGAAATATCATTTACCATTTTTTTCTACCAAAATAAGGGTTTAACCCTTTGATATGTAGCCTGGATTCCTGAATGACCCCCTTGTGAGCTAGCATGGAGCCATTCTCACATTTGTTGCCTCAAAATAGGATCAGCACCTATAACCAGCTTCCCTTTTTGTCTTAATAAGCTGCCATCCCAAGAGAAATGACCCCACATTCCATCATTTTCTTGAGTTTTCTTCTGAATTTCTGAAACAACAGCATCAAGGCCCCAACTTCCTTTGATTTTCTCAAGTAACTCTGGTGACGGTGTGTCTGAAACCATCTGCATTACTTCCTGTTTCGGTATTCTAGAAAGAGCATCTACACCAGAATTTCCATTACCTTTCTTATACTAAATCTCATAATTAAATCCAGCTAATTTAGCAATCCAAAACATTTGAAAGGTTGCCTTCAACTTTTAACCGAGTAGATATTTCAAGCTTCACTGGTCTGATTGTATTATAAATTTCTGCCTCTTCAATATTGATGCCAATGAAGCACAGCCAATACTATGGCCATCAATTCCTCTTCATATACCGAGAGCTTTTAATGCCTTTCAGCCGATGCCTTGCTGAAATAAGCAATTGGTTGACCTTCTTGCATTAAAACAGCCCCCACTCCTACTTCACAAGCATCAGCTTCAACTATGAATTGCTTTGAAAAATTTGGAAGAGTGAGTACAAGTGCAGAAATAAGGACTTCTTTGTATTTAGTAAAGGCTACAGCAGCTGCATTTGACCATTCAAATCCATTCTTCTTGAGGAGAGTTGTGGTTAGGTTAAGACTCCATAGCCCTTGACAAATCTTCTATGGTATCCAGCCAGCCTCAAAAAAGCCCTCAATTGCTTAATATTTGTGGGTTCAGGCCATTCAGCCACTGCGTGAACGTTCTTGGGATCTGTCTGGACTTGTCCACCATTAATTAAATGGCCTAAATACTCAACTTCACTTGCTGCAAAAGAAAATTTGCTTTTCTTTAAATAAAAAATTGATGCTGTCTCAGAATAGAAAACACTTCTTTGAGGTGCTGCACGTGATCATCAAGGTTAAAACTATAAATTAATATATCATTAAAAAAAATAGCACAAACCTCCTCAAATGAGGACAAATATACTGTTCGTAGCCCACCTTAGAAAGTTGCCAAAGCATTAGTTTGGCCAAATGACATAACTAACCATTCATAATGCCCACTGTGTGTTTTAAAAGCAGTCTTTGAAACATCTTGAAGCACCATTCTGATTTGATGATAACCAGCCCTTAAGTCCAATTTTGTAGGCCATTTTGCAACACTTATCTCACCAAAAGAGGTCTTTCACTAAGGGAATGGGGTATTGGTTCTTCACTATCTTTTTATTCAATTCTCTATAGTCGATACACATCCTCCAGATACCATCCTCCTTTTTAACTAAAACAATTGGAGCAGAAAATGGACTGGAACTCTCTTGTATTATCCCATTTTGTAGTAATTCTTTTACTAATCCTGCAATAATATCTTTTTGAGCCAAGGGATATCTGTAAAGCTCAAATTTATAGGGTTGGTGCCTTCTTGAAGGACAATAGAGTGATCATGCCCTTCATGAAAAGGTGGTAACCCTTTAGGTACTTCAAAAAGATCAGAAAACCCTTGTAAAGTAGAAGAAAACACTTATGGAATTTCTGAACAGGTTTGTACATTAAAAATTTCCATCTTCTCTGGTCCCTTGAGTATTACTTGTAGCAAAAATACTTGATTAGTGAAGTTCTTATTCTTAATTTTCAGCCTCTTTGGATACACCACTCGTAGGGTATTAGGACGAGTAGCGTGAAGTTTGCACATTTTCCCTTCAAGCTAAAAAAAACATGGTAAGTGATTCATAATCTGAAAAAGTATTTTTAATACTTTTGAGCCATTCAAGCCCAAGTACTAAATCATAAGTATGCAGTTCAACAATTCTAAAATTAAAAGTAAATTCTAAGCCCTTCATTGGCCATTTAAAACCCCTCCAAATGCCATGAACCTTGAGCTTCCTTCCCCCAACCACTTCTACCCATGACTCATTAGTCCTATCAGGTTGCCATCCAAGCTTTTTTGCCACATTATAATCCAAAAAATTATGGGCGCTACCATTATCAATAAGAATCTGGAGTTTTCTCTTGCCACAATAGCCTGTAAGTCTCATGGACGAAGCACTATCTACCCCATCAATGGCATGAAGAGAAACAAATGGTTTTGCATCCTTTCTTCAGCCTTACTATCTTCCCCAATCTAAATAACTTCTTCTTAGGTATTTTGAACTTCAAAAAAATGAAGTTGTAATTTCTATCTTTGTGGACATTTGTGATCTCAGGAGAATTTCTTGTGACAATAGAAGCACAATTTTTTGCTTCTATGTTCAGCCTCGTCCTCTACAGAAGGATCTTTGGAGGGTTACTATTTAATTTTTTATTAAAAAATGCATTCTTTCGAGGCAAAGATGTGGACTTCCCTTGGGCATGGGTCTTGCTACCTATCAGTGCGTTTTTGTAAGAATTCCACGTGCCTTGGGTTAAGGGTTATTGGCAGATACTGGGGTTGCCACATATCCTCCTCCTTTATTCTGGGTTGTCTTCTCACTTTGCCTTTGAATCATTATTTCTTGCATTCTAGCAAGCTTTCGAGCCTCTCTCAGTGTACGTGGCTTGAAGAGACAAATTGGGCCTTTAAATTCGTCTTGTAAACCAGAAAGGTATTTATCAAGAAGATACTCTTCTTGATAAACGAAGTTTGCAAGAAATCATATCAAATTCATCATTGTAGTTGGCCAATAACCCATGATGCTTCAGGCGAATCTACAACACACTAACTAACTTCAGTGTCATAATTAAGTAATCATGTCATAATTACAAATATATAACATTCACCTTTTTCATTCTTTGCTCAGTCATGTCTACATTTTTAACTGATGACTACTTTGTGAAACTCACTTCAGCGACTAAGTTATAAGGTTCTAGTAGTTCATTACCACTTTCATTGGGCGCTCCTTCCATATGTTGAATCATAATGCCTTTTAAGGAAGTTTGATCAAGAAGTGGATATTAATTAGAATTTGGAAGAGAGCGCGTGACTTATTAATATAACTTTTATTGTTTTCTATTTTGCAGCATGTATCCTCGATCAATGTTTGGAACTTTGAGATTATGCTTGCTTTGTATAGGTGTATCATGTTATCTTTATCAAAGCTACATTTGCTTGCTACAGATACAAAGATGCCAGTAAAACTTCATTTAAGTCCTCTACTCGACTCGAATGTATGATGCAAGACTATCCCAAAACATTGCCCTCATCTGCAAGGGTTGGGTTCACGGTAAAGTAGTCTTTCAAGCAATGAAATATGAATTTCTGGATAATGAAAAAGACTGGGCCTTAGGGGCCTTGGTCATTGCACGTGTTATTGAAGGTTGAAATTTTGCTGGGTCCACTATATGGATTCAACCAGAAACTGTTGTGTGATTTTCCCCAAGAAAAATATATAGACCAATTACTTCAAATATAATGTGCTGTGTGACTAAATAATAAGCCAACAAACAGTGATTAAAGTGGATGTTACTACTGGCTGCATCCATTGAAAATCCACATTGATGAGTTTTGGCTTATAATACAGTCATGTTTTAAATTACATTTATTGAAGCACTTTTCCATAAAATGATCCCATTTTATGTCTTCCTCCCTAGTTTTCCAATTGTTTATCCTCCCAACTTCGCCCTAGTTCACAAAATTCCAACCTATCTGAACTCGAAATAAATAAATGAAGTTGACTTTTCCATCCTTGGCGACACTCGTTTTCATATCACTGATGCAGTCAGTCTGTAACAAACATGCCTTCCTGTGATTCTGCAACATTATCTATTTTTGAGAAACTTCTTTTATGTTTTCACTGTTATGTTCTGCTTCCTCTCTGAATTTATGCGATTTTGTAGACCATGGATTCATGGCTTGCTTATGCACCTGTGAAGAACAACCCAGAAATGCTGCTAAGGTACTTCTAGAATGCAGAGGGTATTGGCCCATGAAGAATGCATATAGGCTTAGGGTGCTCTATGAAGATTTGCAAAAGAAAATAATAGATAAATAATATTTTTATGTGGGGAGTCCTGACCTGAGTGTTTGATTTCAAAATTCATATATGTTGTATTCTTTTAAAGGCTTAGATTTGGAAGATTGCATCGAACATTTAGGTGATGGTGATTTGGTTTTAAAAGGCTGTGGGATGTCAAAAGGTTGAGTGATACTAAAATAAATCTCTCTGTATATATTATCAAAAGGTTCAAGAAAAAATATTTTAATATTCTTTTTGTTATTTTAACTGAAGGTTCCAATAGGAAATCCATATCATAGTGCAACCTCCGGAGAAATGGCCATTTATCGATCAAACAGCCTCATTCTAAAAAAGGTAATATATATTATTATTAGTCATGAATGCTTTGATGCAATATGGTAATAATCTTCTCCATACTAAGAACTGGAAGGTTGAAAAGGTTGTATGCCCCTTAGTTCCATCAGCGAATCAACTTGATCTTACTGCTAAAGATTCCAGTTTCTAACTAAAGCTTCCAGAGGTCTGCATTTTTACTGTATCCCCAATCACCACAGCTTATGATTTAAGCAAAAATTTGTGTTTCTTTCCGCCAGAAAGCTGTATGAATTCCGTGGAAAGTGGGCTGATGGGGCACAGGCCCATTAGCTAACTTAACCTAACCCTAGACTTAATCTTGTTTTTGTTATAATTTGATGGGTACCAAAGTGAGATAGGGAACCCTACCTCAAAAGTTAGTTGTTGAAGTGGAAGAACCAACCTACTTATTTACCTCATTGAACATCTCATACTGCTCAATGTGGGACTTGGTACCTCATAGTATCAAGTTTTCATCAATTGACCCCCCATGGAAAGCCGATGTCCCAATGGCTGCACTCCACAACACTTAACTCAGTCTCTTTCCGGTCAGAACCCGGTAGCCCTCTCAAAAACTGCCGACAAGGCTCTAATACCAATTGATGAGTACCTAAGTAAGATGGAAAACCCTACCTCAAAAGTTAGTTGTTGAAGTGGGAGAACTAACCTACTTATATACCCTATTGAACATTTCATACTACTCAATGTGGGATTTGGTATCCATACTACTAAGTCTCCATCATATTTATCCTTTCTGCCCATTTTTAGGGATTATATTTTATCTTATTTTATTTTGTTCTGATATGATGTTATTATCATATCTGCTTGTACTCTAAGTTTTTCATCTCTGAATAAAATACAATTTCGGTTTTCACAAAAACCATCAAATTCCTTTGTCTTCTATCCTCATTCTATGAGAGTCAGGGTCAAAAGTCAGCAAAGTACTATCAACCAAATATTAGCATATTGCTTTTTCTCAGCAAAGGCATGCATATTCTGTTGCGCAGATAATAGAAACTGATAACGGATTGGACGTGGTATTTAATTTTGGACAATGGTGGAATCTATATTTTAATCTTGCATGGTGAACTTAGAGTGCTTTTCCAGCGATCTTGGTGGATGGACGTGATTCTTTTCTCTTTGATTTCCTTTTATTTTATGTGGGATTGAACTTTAGAGAATGGATTAGTTTTAAAAGATATTAACTAATTGATAGTGTAATATTTTATATGGATGTAATTATTTCCTTGGACTTCTGGGAAGCAGTGTGGCATTGTCACTCACAACTTTGCTCAATTGATGATGTGCTTGTTTGTGGCAGGCAAGCATTACTGCCTAAGTGCCAGTTAACTCAATTCCAAAGTCCAGATTCTGATCAACTTTCCCTGCACACTTACTTCTATCAGGCTGGCGTCGAAGTAGCGGGTCCAGAATTGCAGGTTATTAACGGGCAAGAGGTGGAAGTGTGGCCTCGTATCACGTGGAAACCAAAATGGGGTCTGACCTTCTCTCAGATTAAGAAAAGAGTCAGTGGAAGTTGCTCCATTTCTCAGAGGTCTACATTAGCCATTAAGGGTAAAAAAGTCAGTCTAAAGAATCTGTCCTTAGATGGGGCTCTTGTCGTTGATGCTGTTGACGATGCAGTGGTATGGCTGATCAATGTTGTTTCATTTTATGTTCTGAAAGTTTCTTTAAGATGCCATAGCAGCGCTTAGGAAGAACATTTGCTTAAAGTTACGAAAATGTGAATGCACATGCTCAGACCATCCTGTGTTTGATTGAGTGTGATTAATTGAGGTGGTTTATTATTCATCTTCAAATAGGTGGACGTGGTCGGATCTGTTCAAAACAAAGGGTGGATCCTCGAAACTGTGGACTACAAAAATGCCTGTGAGCCCGAGGTAGTAAGGATTAGGGGTTTTAAATTCAACAAAATTGAACAACTGGAGAGGAAATACTCTGAAACGGGCCAATTCACCTTGAAGTATTGAAGTTACATTTCACTCGTACATCATTCCTTATTCTTCTACTGCTTTGCAACTTGTGTTCATGAGCTGGGTGCCTAGTAACATGTTCTAAGCAGATATTAGGAGTTTTCTGGGATTTGAAATTTTGTAGTCATTATACGGGAGTTCCTGACTTTCTTTCTCTTTGAATTGGTTGGAGACGAATGACAATTGATTCATGTTCAAGGTTTAGTCCCAATTGGAATGAAAGGATTTTGATGATTGACTGGCCATATATCATTAGATCAATCTATCTCACTAGCTATATTGTATTCACTATTCAGGGAACAGGCTCCAAAAACTCAAGGCATATGATCAAGTACCTTGCAGTCCATTCTTGTTCATTTGTGTAAAATCAACAGTGGGCTTACATTCAGAATTCTGATTTGTGAAGGTTAAGGTCTCAAGAACATGCAAGGGCGAGAGAGACCTGCCCCATGAAAAACGAGTTGCAGAAAAAAGTCCGGCGAGAATCGAGACAGAAGAAAACATCAGAATAATGAGCGATTGGTTTTTTTTTCCCCCTTTCCGGATGGGGGTCTCCCCCCCCCCCCCCCCAAACACAAAAACGAAGGCAATAAAATGAAGTCTCAATCTCGGGGCCTCTTGTCTTGACACGTGTTCCTCATGATAAGACCAGAGGAACTTACTACCACTAAACAAAACCAAACCGATGACTGAACACTTGTTTGAAATCCTTGTATTACATCATTATTACAAAAGTACGCACACGGACACTACTCTTATCCATAGCGGGAGAAAGTTCCCACCACTAAACGAAACTGAATTTAAACTCCCCAGCTCTGCGATGCTACGATAGCATTTAGCCATGGCCACAAGTTTCTCCAGCGCGCTTTCAACCAAATTACCCATGATGGGTTTCATTGGTTGCAGAAGAGACTTGAGACACAGGAAAGCACTCTCCATTTCGGCTCAACAGCAAGCAGAAGTGGAGGAGGAAGTGAAGGTACCGCAAGAGCAAGCACAAGCACAAGCAGACAATGGAACTCAGAATATGAATCCCAAAGGAGTGAAACCAAGGCCTGTGGAACCGCAAGTGAATGTGAAGAGCAAAAACATGAGCAGGGAATATGGAGGCCAGTGGCTTAGCTGCGCCACCCGCCATGTGAGGATCTATGCTGCATATATAGACCCTGTCACTTGGGAGTTCGATCAGACCCAGATGGACAAGCTCACCCTTATCCTTGATCCCACCGATGAGTTCGTGTGGAACTCTGACACTTGCAATAAGGTTTTCTCTTACTTCCAGGAGCTTGTAGATCATTACGAGGTAATTATCTCCATCTTCTCGTAATAAAAACTCTAAACATCGATTCGACTCTATCTGTGTCGCTTTTGGTGAAGCTTGTTGCCTGCGAGTTCATTCTTTTATAATTTCTACATTTATTTTTTTGGCCATAACAATGTTTTTTTAGTTTTAAATCATGATTAGGTTGGATTTTAAATTTTGAACAGAGTCATTTCATAGTAGTAGTACTAGTCGTATTGAATAATATTTCCGAAGTGCGTGATGTAGCATGGCTAAGCTTTGAGACGAATTAACTGAACAGGGTGCTCCTTTGACGGAATACACGCTTCGCCTGATAGGTTCAGATATAGAGCACTACATAAGGAAACTACTGTACGATGGGGAAATCAAGTATAACATGAACGCAAAGCAGCTAAATTTCAGCATGGGCAAGCCTCGCATTATGTTCAATAATAATGATCTTCCGCCTCAAGAGGCGCTCGAGTAATTAATCAGTTACATAATACTCCAATATCTGGGGCGACAATTTTGTGGAACCCACGCCAATCTGGTAGTGCAGCTTGATTTCTAGGATTTCAAGACCATGATGTGGTAGCTGCTTTCTTGTTACTTCATGATTCGTTTATTTTGTATTTGTATTTTGATCAGAAGTGAAATGATCACAATTTGGTGGACAACTTTGATCCTCTTCTGTAAATATTGTACGTATTCGCAGTGGCTGCTAAATTATTCATGGTTAACCCATGGGAGCTGAAGTAGAGAATATTGTGACTTTCAGCGCTGCATTCACATTCTAAATGGCTAGTATCGTCTCCTGATCATGGCCTAATACTTCAACTGGGTGGCTCCTTCAATGTAGCGGGAGCAGGGCCAAGCACTCTAACCCTACGGCACGTGAGGCTCCATGGTTTCGCTGCTTCAATCCCAATGTCATCTTTAAGATCAATTCCCGCGCACGAAACCAATCCCTTTTGTGGTTGTTAGCCTCATTGCATATACACGAGTGTTGAACAAGGAGATCAGCCTGTTAGCATTACGGTGCTAGGTCACGTACGAAATCAATCGTCTCTGCACGTACGTACGTGGTTACTGGTTAATTAGGGGGTATTAGAGGTTAGCCTGTTGCTTAGGGGCTGTTAGCATTACAGTATTAGGCCACGTACGAAGCCAATCCTCTTTGTGGTTGTTAGCCTGTTACGTAGACATTTTCGTCGCTCACAACCAAATCTGAAATGCAACTATGGGTGATGAAAGGACGTGAGGTTCTGAATGTGGCTAGAAACCTAAAGAACGTCTTGGAAACAAATGTGAGAAAGACAAAAAGTTGAATTTCAATTGAATATAAAAATAATTAATTAATATGATTAATTTTAATTATAATTAATTATATTATGATGTAATATGTTTGGATACAGTTTTTTTAAAATTAATTTTAACAAAATTGAAGATGTTTGAATAATTTAATTTAAATTAATTTTAATTGTTCAAATTATCATAAAGGACATTTTTTTAAAATTAAATCATTGATAAATTTATATCTAATATTATTAAATTTCATTTAAGAAGTAATATATATTATCTAAATTATATATCTGATTAATTATAAAATTTAAATTATATTAATATTAAAAATTTAATTTACATAGATAACTCAATATATCTTAATTTAAATAATTTTAATAAAATAAAAAATTTTAATTTTTAATTACCGAATGTTAGTTTTACAATAACTAGAAAATAATAACATATAAATTGATCTCTAATTTATAAACTGATTTCTAATAAGATTTGTATAATTGTACCTTTTTGGTTATATATTTTAAAATTAAATACACTAGAAAAGCATAAAAGATTAAATTTATGGTGCGCTGAGCTTCCCGAAATCTCCACCTGAATGCATGTGATTTATATCTCTGTTGGTTAAGATCCCAGGAAAGAGAACACTCACAAACACACACAATTCTACTGCTTGCCACTAAGCTGCAAGGAGAACACCTAGACTGCTTCGTCTCTCGTCCACTTTCCGTCACTCACTATTCTCCCTGATCCTCTATTACAGTTACTCATAGCCTCTAAAACCTTGCTATGTTAAACCATCAAACACCTTCCACCACCCATCAACCCCAGGACGATCAAGATGATGAAGAGAACATCAGAGAAATCCACACTTTAACCCCATCTCACACTTCACACACCGCCAATTGTGCTCATCGCTGAGAAGCTTTGGACACACACTGCCGCCCTCGTAGTCTCTATCCATGACCAACACGGAAGGAGCTTTCGGCGAGAATTTCACCAGCATGAGTAGGGAATTCAGTGCTCTGGTTCTCGCAAGGTCTAGTATTGATCCCAACAATGACAGCCCCATTGATGTGCATGACAATGAAAGAGGCAACAATTTGGGGAGAATTGGAGAAGAGGATTTGATGGAGGAGACGAATCCGCTAGCGATCGTTCCTGATAATCATCCATTGGACCCGAACACGGAGGAGGGGAGGAGTTGCTGGTGCGTCTTCATCGTCGGCGGCGGGAGTGGGAAGAGGAGAAGATACCTGGAGATAAATAATCAAAACATGTATAACACTGATGAGGAACACGGTAGGTGAGAGATTGACTGAAAAATAATTAATATTGGTTAACGGTAAAATTAAATTTCAAAAGCTCTCTCTTCCGGCTAATGTAAAAACGCTATTCAGGGCTTATTAATTGATTAACAAATGTTTGTGCTGTTTGTATATTTTTTATTAAAGCGTGATTATGAGCCCAAAAAATTCGATTTTTTATCCTGTAGCAAAAGCACGACGGAGAGGACATAACGCTTGAAACAGTTCCAAAAGAGGGGTGAAATCTATCGGTTGTTACGCTAATTGATGGTTATATGGTATCCTCTGATCACCTCACTAAAATTAAAAGTGATTAAATAATTTATTTTTAAATAAAAAAATATATCTCAAATTTTTATAGTTTCACTCAATTTTAAATTAAATATTTTTAGTTTATTTTATTTTAATTAATCCTTTATAGTTTAGTCAATTAAATTTTTTAATCCTTGAAAGTTAAAGTCTTTACATTTTTCCTTTTAAAAAAAATTAAAAATTTTTATATTTTTATTAAATGAGTTATACTTTTATTAAATGATTACGTGACTTTAAAATTGATTACATAATTTTTATAACTCAAAATTTATATAATTAGGTTATCTTCTAAATATCTTTTATATATGTAACATTTTCATTAAAAAATTATCATAAAAATATAAGCAGTGAATTATATCAATTTTTTATTTTTGACTAAAAGTATTAAATTAAATTTTCTACAAACTTTAAGAGTATTTTTGTTTTGTAAAATTTAATAATTGATTGTTAATTATAACCTTCAGATGTCAATATATATAATAGATGAAAGCATAAGGAGCTAATTAAAACAAAATAAATTGCAGAGACTTAATTTAAAATTTTGTGAAACTGTAAGGGTTTGCAAGTATATTTATAAGTAAAATAAATTTTTAATTTTACTTACATTTAAATGAAAAAAAATTAAATTGACATTACATTCTCCTTTTTATAATTAATAATTTTAAATTGAGATAATATTAAAGAAACTTAATTAATATTCATCAAGTGTCTTACTGGTTTAAAGAGTGCTTGAGATAGCGGTGGACGTTCAATCACCTTACACTGTGAAGTTGCTGAGGCAGTCAACCTCATAAAAGGAGGCAACGTGGATCTCCATAAATGGCGTAGCATTATTATGGAGATTAGAGGGCGTCCTCAAATTGGCACTGGAAAGTGGAAGCTTGTCATATTGACCGTGATTTGAACATGGAGGCTGATGCTATTGCTAAGAGATCTTTGATCGAGACTCCTGGCTTTTACCCCATTGCACCGAGCATGCCTAACTTTTGGGAGTTTCTTAGACCTCCTTAGGTTTTTTGTTTTTTTTTTTCTCGTGTTATGTTTTCTTTGCTTTCCCGTATATCAAAAAAGAAAAAGAAAGAAAGAAAACCACACATCTTTTGTAAAAAGTTGTTTATAATAAATTTTTAAATTCTCAAGTTTATAATAACTTCTTTAAAAGGCTCCTTGTAATGACAAGGGAGGGGTATTAACTGCATGCTTTTTCTCTGTGGTATTGGTAAATTTTCGTTATGGGATGCCTGTTGGCACGGTTTTGAATTTTATTCTAATTAAACAATCAACATTCGGACCCAATTTTAAGGTTTTAAACATTCTCCATTCATGAAATATTCACAGCTTTATTTAAACCCTCTGTTGCCAGTCCAGTCCAAAAAAAATCAAGATTGGTTTGTTAGCATGAATATAACTAAAGAAAAGTAAGAGCATTGGCCTGGACACGTGTTAGCGTGATATGACCGAGACACACGCAACGAACGCGTAGCTGAATGCTTTTGGAAATCTTCCACTAAAAACAGCCACGAAGCCCGCCGTTCCCAGACAAGTTAAGAATCGTCCTGAAAGCGACTCAGGTAGCTATCAGCAAGAACAAGTTAGCATTTCACCGCCGATACAAATTCAAAGAGATTTTTAAACCTTGCTTTGTGCGAAACTTCAGTAGTCTATTTTAGTATTGGTGTTGCCTGCAGGGTCGACGACGGTCCATCCTTCCCTTGAATAACGTATAATTCCAACATCTTTAACGGCATAAAACCTAGAATATATCGTCATTTGCAAGGTAGGTCTGATAAGTCCATGCCTATCAATCACACCTGTTTCTTTTTTTTAATAAAAAAGAAGGTAGATTTAATTCGAACAAATTGTGGGTGAATGCTCAGGTTCATGGTTAGCATAGACGTGACGAAGTGGGAGCGAGGGGCGGCGGAGGCGAAGCTTCGTGCAAGTTGCCTTGAAACGGATCAGATCATAAGACCATTGACATCAACACGCTTCAGGAATTATGGGCCCCACTTCCTTATCTGTACTACAACTTACATCATATTCCGGCTCCCCTTTGTACGTTCCCGTACACAACTCTGCCTCGCTCGTTTATAAAATGTAACTTCTAAATCATCATCATCAGCCTCTGCATCCCTTTCGAGAGACGTGCATTGTTACGCATTAAATTCTTTAAATTTATATTTTTATATTAATAAATTGCCTGTTCATCTTTATAAAATATTTCAAGTTTTTTTTCTGTTGGACTCATGAAATACTGCAAGTTATCCGTGTGCAAACTGCAGATTTCCTAGCTTGACGTAACTTTATTTTATTTATCCATATTAAGCCGCTAAAGGCATACTCCCTCCGGTCCTATTTATAAGTTATTTCTACCAACCTCATCAATATTAATATAATAAAAATATAAGGAATAAAAGTAAGTAAAATTCCAAATATATCCCTATATAACAAATCTAAAAAGTAATGTCCTGTTATCTTTTCTCTCTCATGAAGGGTAATTTTAAAAATACTTCTCAAATATTATCTAAAAAGACGCACCATAACTTATAAATGGGACCAAATAAACCTTTTAAAATGGGACTTATAAATGAGACCGAAAGGAGTACTCTGTACTCCACAACGCCTACCAAAAATACAAATACCTAAATTAACTTTATTTAAATAAAATAAATAATTTGGAAAAGATATCTCTACTTTTTCTGTATTCTTTATAAATTATTTCTATCAATATTATCAATACTAATACAAAAAAAGAATAAAAGTGTATAAAATTTTAAATATATTATTATATAATAAATTTAAAAAGTAATATTAAATTATTTTTTTCTTTCATAAAACATAATTTTAAAAATATTTTTTAATATTATTTAAAAACTATACTGCAACTTATAAATAAAATTAAATAAAATTTTTAAAAATATATCTTATAAATGAGGTCAAAGAGTATCTAGTCCGCATCCGCACCAGCAAGTGGCTATATATATTACCCTATCAAACCCCTTTCCTCTCAGCGAGTGGCTTGTAGATTGTATGTAGTGCTATAAGCCTCTTTCCTCAGCATATATGCGCTGGTAGCTTAGTTGACCCGGCCGAAGAGCAGAAACGTACGACCCTGTATATATCATAGTCTATTATTAAAATTTTGTGAGCGAATATGTCTCCCCTTACGCCCACTGACTTGCAGCGAATATTTGAGAAGCTGGATAGGAACGGGGATGGGTTGGTGAGCCTTGAAGAGCTGAAATGGCTGCTGGACAAGATAGGTCACGAGTTCAGCCCCGACGAGCTTGAGGGTCTGGTCGGAAAAAAGAACCTGGACTTGAATGAATTCTTGTTCTTCTGGGAGTCCATATCGAAGCAGAACAATAACAGAGGAGATGAAGAAGGCGAGGACGGAGCAGACGTGGAGAGCGACCTGGCAAAGGCGTTCAGGGTGTTTGACTTGGATGGAGACGGCTTCATCACCAGCCCAGAACTGGAGTGCGTGCTGAAGAGGCTCCACTTACGGGACTGCCCAAGTGCGAAGGACTGCTCCGCCATGATTTGCGCATACGACACCAACTCGGATGGTCGTCTTGACTTCCAGGAGTTCAAGAACATGATGCTCCTTACCTCTTCTTGAAGATTGATTCCTTAATTTCCACTTGCAGTACTCGGTGTGCTTCTCATACTCTTAAGAGTCTCTGAGGTAGTCTGCTTCATGGTCTTGATGATTTTCTGCATGAATCGCAGCTCACATACTATATCCAAAGCTGTTATAATCTGCGTGCGTGCGTGCGTGCGTGTGTAGACTTTTTGCATCTGTGACTTGCAATGGCAGCAAGACAATAATACCCATGTTCTGCTATTCATGATTTATATTTCTGTTGGTGAATTTGATATGCCTAATGGCCAAACTTTATGTAGTTGATGCAGCAGAGTTATATCGATTTCTTGAGAGAAATTAATGAAACGTATTGCTCTAAATTAAATATTTGTTCAGCTACGACAGTGCTGTTTTGTTGGGAAGCAGTTATTAATGAAGGATTTCAGGGAAATGTACGCTCCCTTGACAAGCCATTTGAAAAAGAATCACGACTTGAACAACTTATGAACAGGTTTGTTAAAATGAATAGCGTATGTAGATTCAATATTTTAGTAGCTAGCGCGATACCGTGTTTAGCAAATAGTGTAATATCTGCCTTGATATTATTAAAATTTATCACACAATTATAATAAATAATTATAATTAGAAGCAAGCTCATATTATATATATAAGAGTTAAAATTAATAATCTTTTAGAAATAATTGTGAAATACTTGGGATCCCATTAAAAATCTTTAAATAAGTAGTTTGAGCTCAAACTTAATGATTTATAAAAGTATTGAAAGTATGAAAAAGTTTTGAGAAGCAAAACACTTTAAAGCAGGACAAAAAATATCATTTTTGAGTATTTTGATATATGCACTGCGGCTCGTGGTACGCATGCCGCGGCATATGGCACAGAAAGGCAAATTTGGTTGTTGTACCATGCGTCGCGACACGCATGCCAATGATAGCTTTTCAGGATGAACTTCAAACGCTTGCCATTTTCTCATTCGATGTCCGATTGGTGTTATTTAAACACCTACACGAAGCTTATTCAATAAACTAACTAATGGTACAAGTTTTGTTACGATCTAACACCATATAAAAATTTAAACACTCAAATGCAAAAGTTAGTTTTTAAAGTGATTTTCAAACATCCAAGTACCCAAAACTTAAAACTTATGCCATTAACCCATTTTGAGGCTTGAACCAAGTTTAATGAATCAAAATATACCTAAAAAAGCATTCAGACACGCAAAAGCATACCAAACACAAAATTTGGTAACTTAATGTCAATTTCACCCAATATAGCCAAAATATAAAATCAACACTACATGCACTATTTGGCCTCTAATGTCACAAAATACACCACATATACATTATCACCACGTGTATATAACATTCCTTACACTTATATTAATATTTTAACCTATCACCACATATTCACATTATATATGATATTAGGCTAAAATAAAAAATAACATAGTATAATACAAATACGACCAATCAAAATGATATGCATTTTTAGTTGGCAACTCATGTTATTATCCATATAAGTTTACGTAGACAACTCCAAGTAAAATCAGGCTTTACAATGATAATGTAGCAAATATACTAGCTCTTGCCCAATTCCTTTCCTTGCTCAGTCTTAGCGGTAGAACCTGTAAAATAATAACCATAAGGTGAGATAAAAATTTCAGTAACTAAGATAATTTACATTATTAATCAACATGCCAAGTTATAAATAAGCCTTAAAATAAGTATAATAAACACATCATATACAATTACCACGACTTAAATGCATGTTCACTAATCATTTAGTCCTTCAGTACTCCCAACCGAATCGATAAACTATTTCACAGGACCAGACCACATGTATGGTCTCTAAGCTCACCATCTATGGTAAGACTACCTAGCCAAGGTGTCATAAATTACTTCTAGAATTTTAGTTCCCTCTATTATTAGGGTGCCGTTACTCCAACACCGCATCCTACAGATGTTAAGGAGCATGGTCTCCAACTTTGCACCCTTCTGGGTACTAAGAAGAGTAAGTCTCCAACACCGCATCCTTTTTTGGGCATTAAAGAAAAATATGAGCTGCACCTGATGTCCCAAAATGCCAGCAGTGCCATATGGACTTAACCTCTACTAACTTTACAAGGATGACCTCCTACCCTCTAATATGTCATATTTCACTACATATCTCTACTTAACCATGCATGAATCACTTTCTAAACAAATATAACAAATCTCAACACTTACTTCAAAAATATAAAATTTCACAAATCAATAATCTACTCATTTTCTAAAATAGTTAACTTTTACAAAATTTATACATATATACATAACAAATCATAAAAAAATAACTTGAGAATGATTTATACAAAGTAATAAATAATGTAAATTATGTAGTTATCTCAACCCTTTTGTTACTAAAAAATGTTACCCGTGGTACTAAATCTCTTCTGGTGTCAAGACAAGTTTTTCTCATACCACAATCTACATCAACAAGTACTATATGAATTTTTGATTAACAAAAACACTATTAGTTATCAATAACATCCCAATTCTCCCACTTCTTCCTCATTTTCTCAACAAAGGGGCTTGTCAAAATTACACTTTGTCCACACATGCCCCTCGAGCCTCTTTCTCTAATTTTATCACAACATAACACTTAATATCTCAACTTATCTCACATCAAAACCCCATAATCAAGTTAGGGCTTGATCTAGTTTACACCAAACAACAATTTAACTTCATATTACCACTTATCTAAGGTTGAGAAACTTAAATCAAACCTTTAGAATCAATTCAAATCTTTAAAACATAGGCCATAGCTTAATCCATTTCGAGTAAATTCTCTCACTTTCAAATTTCATAAAAAATGAGATGAAAAGGTAGAAGAGCAGGATAGAAAACTTACTTAAGAGTTTGGAGACCTAATTTATTTTCAAAATCCTTTCAAAATAATGCCTTAACAGTGCCCAAATCTTCATCCTTCAAGTTCCAAGCTTTCTTCAATCAAAAATGACTTTTTCATATCATTTTTGCGTTTTATGCCTATGCTGTAACTTGCGTCGCAGCGCACGGCACAAAAGCCGTGGCTCACGATGCAGAGAGCAAAATCTCATTTTTGCTCCCCTCAATGCCACCCAATTCGATTCAACTTTCATCCTAACTCAATTTAAAACCAAATATGATCCAAAAAGCTAAGTAGCAATCTAATAATATAATTAAATTAATTAATTATTTTTTTAATTAATTTATTTTTTAATTAGTTAATTTATTTCAGATTTAAAGTTTTTGAATATTATGAGTAATGTCTTCAGTTAATCATTTGGCTAGGACAACAACGTATAGAAAAGCAGATGGAATTGTAGGCATAGCAACCTTGACCATGAAATACTTTTATCCGCTAGACACATTAACTGGGATTGTCGCCAACTAAAATTTGTTTTCCCTCCCTTTGCTTTGACACTATGTTTCAACCTTCTACAGTCTTCCCATGCATTGCTTAGGTAGAGATGGGTAGAATCTGGAAGAATCTAGCATGATCTGTATAAAGAAGTCTTGATGGGCGTTTAATTGAGGTTTTAAGTTATGCGGGAAAAGTCTAGTATCTTCTGATACACAGTGTGGATGAGCAAAGCTGGGAATCTGGGATGACTGATAGACTAGTCATGCGAAAGCGATGGCGAACCGCATGACCATAAATTAGTTCCATATTGTGTGATGGAGAAAAATATCTTATTTGTTGGTCAAAATAGAAAAAAAATATATAATATTTATAAATTACTTTTAATATATTTCATCAAACTTAAAAAAATTAAAACTCATTAATCCTGTTCAAAAATTTAAAAAATTCTTAACTTTATCTCTATTTAATATACATACTTTAATAATATATTTTATCTCTTTAATATTTAATAAAAAATAAAAAGAATATTTTTTTATGAAAATTTAATAATATAATTTATAAATAAAAAAATTTTCATGCCTTGTAAACAAAACCAGAGAATATATGAATTTCATTAGACCTTGTTAATCGTATGCTTCGTTCTCCACGCAGCAAATGATAACGTTAATTCAGAAGACTAAATAACCAATTCATGATATCATAATTGTAAGTCTTTTAATGAGTAATAATAATCGAAGACTTTTATAAACCGTGGGTGGCGGTGTGCGTGCCATGGCAAACCTGGTAGGATGGCTAGGAAAGTCCAGAAAGAAAAGAAAGATAAATTTTTTAATGTAATTTTTTTTCAAAAAAATAAAAATACATTTATCTTATTCCACTGTCTTTATTAAAAAATACTTTCAACTATTTCACCTATATTAAAAAAGTTAATTTTTTTTGATATCATAAATATAATTTAATTTTTACTCTTAACTTTAAATAATAATATAATTATATTAAATATATTCACTCTAATTAATAAAGTATAAAATTGTAATTTAATTCTTACACAATATCCTATATTTTTTATTAAAATTTATTTTAAAAAGTATTTTATAAATAAAATTAAAAGGAGTATTTTAAACAAAAAATGTTGGAGAGTTGTTACAACATAGATTTGATTATTTTTCTAAGCTTATGTTTGCATGCTATAATCATGATATTTAGTTCTTTATACCTTCGAGGAAAATTCTACCACTATTGTTAGATTTTGAATAGATGTGCTCGGGAACAGAATTTTCTGGTCTTCACAATGTCAGACTCTATACATGCACAATCGTTCATGCCTTTTTTTGTTTTATTTACCAGAAGCAAGCAGACCATTGGAAGTCTGGAGCGTTCCTTCTATGCGTCACGGGTTGCCATCAACTTGTCCTTTTCTCAACTTCTCAAGTTTTCCAGCTCTTTCTCAGTTGCTAAACCCGTAAATTATTGCCTAAATTTTAAATTTAGTAATATCATAAATTCTAAACACATTTATTATACAAATTATTTCCTTAACTTGTAAAAATGTACAATCTGACCCTGCTATTAATAAAAGTTAATTTTCACCCTTAATTAATCAGAAAATGATAGAAAAATGAAAATTTGGTTATTTTCTGTAATTGTTTATCTTTATTTATAATTTTTAATTCTTTATTATAATTTTTTGGTCCCTTATATAACTTTTGAGATATTTTTTTATCATTTTTAATTAACTAACAATCAAAATTATTTTTTTTCAATGACAGAACTAAATTTCTCTGTTTTTAAAAATTAAGGGAATGATTAGCACAATAAATAAATTTAAAATAGTGCTATTGATTTGAAAAATTTAAGATAATTTACTGATTTACCTTTTAAAAAAAAATATCTCTGTGATCGCTCATAAAAAGTTATTGGGTCACAAAAAAAGAAAAGGCTTTGTGAAAATGTTTTTTCTTTTATTATTTGTTTTAATATGCAATT